GAAGGTGGACAGCCTAGTAATCCACGACAAGCCAACCTGAGAAGATCGGAAAACATCAGTATGTATAATACTTACATGTATACCGAATTGGATACATCGAAAGAAACATTTATGGAAGCAATCCAGAAAGGTAATTATGTAGATAATCAATGTTGGTTGAATACACTCACTGATTATTATAAAGATACCCTAATGAACAACAAGAAGAAAGAACCAATGTCGCGAGGGATGATACTAAAACTAATAAATAAAACAGAACAGGAATTCACAGAGTCGGGGGCGTCAATTGATGACATGATCCCGGTATTTATAAAATACAGAATGCGTGTGAGAATAATAGACCAACTGGGCAAAATCATTTATTCTTATTCGCCAGAGATGTTTGACCGCAACATCAGAGCCCTTTATGCAATGGTCAAAAATAATCATATCTACACACTGAATAATAATATTAAAAGATTGGAACAGAGACAAAATACTGATCATGCATTTGTAGTAAGGGCACGACCCGACTATCATATAAGTGATAGAGAGAAGCCATCGATTTGCAAAATGCTTTCTACTATTGATGACATTTTTGAAATGGTTAAGGCAACAATTGCGAACAGAACCGACAAACAGGAAAAGAACTTTTTAGATTTAGTTCATAGAGAGAATGATCTAAATAAATTATTTTGCGATTTCAAAAATATCGGGTATGAATGCAGGATTATTCACAAAGCAGGGACTTTTTCAGAATTGAGGGCGGACTTCAATCATGTATATCTAAATATTAGGTCGCAGTGTTTGGTCGATGACCAAACCAATAGTGACATCACAGTAGACAGAGAAACGGTTTACAACAATATGACTGAAGCGATGTTTACATTCAAAAAGAAATTATTCAATCCAAATCACAAGTCTTATTACAGTCCTACCGATATACAAGTTTTAAATAATTATAGAACCATCGTCCCACAAGGCGAGTTATTCAAGGGCTTGGATAAATTGGATGTTCCAAAACAGGAGATCGACATGAACAAAGCGTTTACAGATGCATTTAATACGATTACCAGAATTGGAGTTTTTAATCAGTTTGATAATTGGAAAGCTTACAATAGTAAATGTAAGATCAAGGATGTAAATATATATTTGGTAAAAGCAGAACTGACACATCACAATCTGTTTTTTAATAATGATAAAATATAGTTTATGGTATGTTTCTTAAGCATTTTATGCCACTTGTTGCATCTGGCGAGTTGTCCATTACTCACTACAAACAGCCCCGCTTCATTCACAAGGTAGATAATAAAATGTTGGTTGAGGAACTCTGGGGAAAGCGAATAAGCGAAAATATTGAAGAAGACAAGGCAATTAAAAAAATAATAGCCAACTCGATTTTTGGCTTGTTGGAAAAAAGTAAGAACAGCAGTCAGAGATCATTCGTTTTTAATGATCTCAATGAGGCGATCAGCCTTCAGGCAGATGCAGGGGGGAAGTTAAACATGATGAGCAGGAATACTGCCAAGTGGGTTGAGGAATACGATGATAACGGCATGTGGTGCCGTGATAGAGAAGTATCTGAACAAAACGACAATTTATATTATATTCTGAATGTGGTTGATAGGTGCGAGTTGTGCAATGGGTTTCGTTTTATTAAAGAAATGCTATTGCAGTATCATAATTTCAAAATGCAATGCGCATATCAAAAATTGACAGAGAACAATGTTAAGGTATTGAGTGTCAAATGCGACGCTTTTGTCGTGGACTGTTCGGGTTTTAATAAGTTTGGTTTGAGAAAGACTCAGCAGTTGCTAGATTTTCACGATGGGATCGGTGGGTGGAAATTAGCCAAGACTCACGATGAGATCCATCATACAGGAAAGCAGTTGTATGAACAGAAGAAGTGTGAATATGTTGATATCCCGATTGTCAAAAGTAAGAGAGTTAACATCATTAATGAGTATGATGAAAATGAATTGGTTGAACTTGTTGAGAAATATAGGTGCTTGATGATTAAGGCTAAATTCGCAGGAGCAGGGAAGTCCACCATCTGCAAGAACATGGAGAGACCCAAGGGTTACAAAGTGTTGTTCGTGGTTCCTACCAATAATCTGGGTTTGGAGTGCGAAGTGGAAAGCGTCACTGTAAATACATTCTTCGGTATAGCAGTCAATGACGAGAAGCTAGATAAATACGATCATTCGATGTTTGATGTCATTGTGTTTGACGAGATTTGTTTTAATAATACCTTTGTGTTGGCAAAAATCAAGGGCTTTGTTGAGCAGTTCAAGGACAGTAAAATAATGTTGGCAACCGGCGACGCCAAGCAGTTGAGCCCCATAAAAGCACTGACTAACACTAAGAAACACGAGATTTGACAGCATTTTTCCTCATCATTTGTTTTTGGAAGAGTGCAAGCGATTGAAGACTCAGGAGGACAAGGATAAACTTAAAAGTATTTATGCCGACATCTTTGAGCATGAGTTGTCTCTACATGATGTCATCAATAAGTATTTTACATATACTGATGACATCACAGGAACAGAAAGCAATGTCGCATATTTAAGTAACACTTGTAGAGAGGTTTCAAGGCAGATCAGGAAACGACAGGGCAAACAAAATGAGTTTGAAGTCGGCGAGATCATGATATGCAGAGAGTATAGGAAGACAAAAACCTATAAGTTAAATGTGAATTTTAGGTATGAGATAATTAATATTTCCGATCCTTGGATTACCATTGCTAATATCAAAACACGAGAAGAGATTACATTACATATTGGTATCTTGAGAAGTCATTTTATCTTTGCCTTCTGTTATACTTGTCATTCTGTTCAGGGGTGTTCCATTGATGACGATGTCGTGATATTTGATTGGAACCATCATCTGATAACTCGCGAGTGGCTTTGGACGGGAATCACACGGGCAAGGGATTTAAACAGAGTAAAATTTTACAAATACAGTAGTGATTTAAATGAAGAGTTTAACGCAAAATGCATTATGAATTATTTTGATAGAAAGGTGTTAGCATACAAGGAACAGGATCGTAAAAATGGCTTTGGTATTCCAAAAGAAAATTATGTAGATGCCGAATGGTTGAAGGACAACGTCAATGGCAAGTGTGCCCACTGTGGCTGTGGTTTCGTGTTGTCAATGGATTCTGGTAATATAAATTCTAATCTGACTTGTCAAAGGTTATGTAATGATCTTCCCCATACAAAGGATAACGCCATTGCCTTCTGTGCTTCTTGTAATAGATGCTTCAGTGATAAAATAACATATTGATATTTATTTTATTGTATTATATATATGAGTGAAAAAGACAAGATAATCAGTGAGGTCTACTACGATCAGGCTGGGTTTGGTAGCATCGCCACCACTTACAAAGATGCAAAAAAGAAAGATGCATCCATAACAATGCAAGATGTCAAGGAGTGGTTTCAAGAGAACGTGGAACGGAAAAAACAACTGTCTGGATACAATTCGTTTATTGCCCCTGATATCAACTTTGAATATCAATTGGATCTGTTTTTATATCAAAAAATGATTTAGATAATCAAAAATATAGGATAGGCTTATTGCTTTTTGATGCATTTTCCCGCAAAGCCGTGGTGGTGCCTATTGCATCCAAGCAACCTGCTGACATCACGGCTGGGATCATGGAGGCATTAAACAAAATGGGAGGGAAACCCAAATTAATTTATTCGGATGATGAAGGGAGTCTCAATACCCAAGATCTTGTTGATTTTTTCAAGGACGAAGGGATCCAAAACTATAAAACACGAGGGCACCCCCATTTCGCCGAGCGTTTCATTCGCACGTTCAAGGACATGCTTTTCAAGAGGGTTGATGCAGACGAGAAAAAGGGAAAGGTTAATATACAATGGGTTGATTATATCCCCGAGATCATGCTGACATACAACAGTAAAATGGTTCATTCTGCCCACGATATGACTCCAAACGATGCCCACAAAAAGGGAAACCATCTTGAGGTCAAGATGAAGCTTGAGATGAACAGAATCAAAACCCGTAAATATCCCCCTGTTAGGGTTGGCGATGAGGTCAAAATATACCGCAAAAAATGGATTTCCGAGAAAGAAAGAACGAGCAACTGGAGCAGTGTCAAATACAAGGTTTCAAGGGTTGAAAAAAAACTTTGTCAAGATTATTATTCTGTTGAAGGGATGAACCGCCCCTACTTGAGGTCAGAGATTCTGAAGGTTTGAAAAAATAATATCTAAACGGTTCTAATAGCTGATGAATCTATTAGAACTGTTTAGTGGGACAGGGTCGGTCGGTCGCATCGCCCGTGATCTGGGGTTCAATGTCATTTCACTGGATTGGAAGGGTGCTGACATAAACCAAGATATTTTACAAACAGTTTGATCGGAATCACTTTGACATAATTTGGGCTTCTCCCCCGTGCACTGAATACAGTAGAGCCAAGACAACAGGGATCCGCAAAATAGACTATGCAAATTCCATTGTTTTGAAGACCCTTGAGATCATTGATTATTTTAAGCCTCGTTATTGGTTTATTGAAAACCCTCAAACTGGACTGTTGAAAGAACAGGAGTTTGTGAAAGGGTTACCTTTTGTTGATGTTGCCTATTGCAAATATGGGATGAGATACAGGAAAAGAGCTAGGATCTGGACTAACCTAACGAAATGGAAACCAAAACCCCTATGTCAAAAAGATTGTGGGAACGTAGTTGATGGGAGGCATCTTGAAACAGCCCAACGGTTGCCACCCGGAAAAAGGAATCAATGGGGTTCAAATCCTATTATCCATAGTGTTGATGAGTTGTATAAAATCCCCACTGATTTGATTGTTGACATTTTGTCATCTATTAGCAGAAGATAGCGTGCTTCCTTCGTCATCACGTGCGCCAGTCAGATTGTCGGTCAAGCGTTTCATCAGTGGTTGTGCTTTCAGAGCATTGAATACCCATGAGTTATTTGACCATAGCAGTTTGACAATCTCAAGTCAAGGTGATTTCCAACGCCATCTTTTCCCGAACATGGCATCCTTGTCGGTGCGTGTTTCTCTACATACCTTCTTCTACCAGCAGTCTGGCAGGGTCTTCAATGTTGATGTAACCCCCCAGATGACACTGATGGAGGTTGGCACCAGCGCCATTGAGAAAATGGGAGCTTGGAGCAACCAGACCGAGCACCAATCCTTCCAGAAGTTTGAGGTTCATTACAAGGGCAAGTTCCACCTCGTCGATGGCAAGTTGTCCGACCTTGATGACATCAACGGGGTCTTTCATGTAGTTGCCGTCAAGGGCTTCTATGGAGAGACCATGAAGAAGAAGCAGGATGACAAGGCAATCTGTGATATTTCAAGGGGCACAACAATCAGCGTTTCAAGGACGGCTTCTACCCAGTGTATCCAACTTTGACCATCAAGCAGATGAAGGGCGTCATTGAGGAAATGGCGCATGGTTCTTCTGGTTTTGCTGGGTCATTGGTTTTCTGGCACGATGGGCATGTCATGAACAACAGCAATAAGACAAAGACCATCTTGAAAAATGGCGATGTCGTCGTGGTCAGTCGCAGTCACGTGGATGTGTCAGGAGATCCGTGTGGTTCTCCTATCATGAGGAGATCCGAATGGGTTCCAACTCCAGATGATTTTGCTTTGCCACCACGGGCAATGGATGTGGAGATTGACGCAATCAGTGATCACGAGGAGAGCGAGGATACCAGTGACCATGAAGATGACAGCAGTAGTCGTGGCACGGTGGCAGAACCAGACCCAGAAGACGATGTCGGCCTTGTGGATTTCATTGACTTCGGTGAGTTGGCAGATGATATGCCTTGTTACGACATTGACGATGACAACAAGTTCTCTCAGGGTTATTTGAAGGATGCCAGTGACTTTCAAAGTGTCCATCCCCTGCCTATTCTTCTCCACATCAAAGAGCCCAAGGCAGGCAAGTTGCTTTTCAGCCTCAAAGTCTCAGACCAGAACATTGCCATTGCTGATGTCAAACTCTTGATTTGCCAGAAGATAGCCAAGATGCCAAACGCCGACAGAAAGCGGTCTCTTGGCGTTGATGCTTTCGTCTTGGCATATGGTGAGATGACCTGCGCTGATGCATCCATCTTGTCAGACATCAGCAGTGGTCAGTCAGAAATTGATTTGGTGGTTCTTCTTCGTCTTCGTGGAGGCGTCAAGAGTGTCATGTCATCCATCACCAAGCCAGTCAAGAAGTCTGACCTCTACATGGAGAAGGCAAAGGGGGTTTTCAAGAAGATTGAGAACCAGACCTACGAGAGCGAGACCTTGAAGGATGCTCAGGGATTCAGCAAGTACATCAACCAGAATGTGGAGCATGGGGGGCAGATTTTCAAAACCGCAGTTTCTGCCATGAATTCGGATGCCGTGAAGGAAGCGCTCAAGATTATCAGTGCCAATGGTAGGAACTTTGGGAGCACTGAGCAGAAGATTGAGAAGGTGAGTGCCATCATGTGTGGCAAAATGATGCGTCGGTTGGAGGAGGAGGAGCAGAAGATTCGGGATGTTCGCAACTCCATTATTTGTGGCATGATTAGCGCCTACACATGTTGGTGCTTCAAGAGTGGCAAGTATGATAACACTGACATGAAAAAGATGCTCAAAGAACAACTTCGCAAACTTGGTGTTGCTGATGGCGAGATCGAAGACTCAGAGATGAGCGCATTGACTGAGATGCTTAGCAAGAGTAGTGTTTGAAACAGCTTCCAGTGTCAGAGGCGCAAACTGGACTGTTTAACCACCCGCAAACACGCGTTTATTCGCCCAACAACGCCTGTTTAGTCGCCCAAAAACACGTGTTTATTTGCCCAGAAACACAACCTGTTTTGAAGCAGGTTTCAATCACAGAAACACCTGTTTAACCTTCAATAAACAGCGCCCTGTTGGTTGTCTTGCAGTATGTAAAGACCTTCAAAGACTTCTACCAAACCAACGAGAAAAGGAGTTCGATGAGCGCAGTTTGCCAATACCCGCCATTGAGTTTGAGCATGTGCTTCATTGTCCGCCCGTCACTTATCAATGCGCAGGTATTGCGAAGCACAACGCGCCGTGGAGCCTCATTGGGCGGGAATGGTGGTGTTCTTTCGTTTTGGGGTGATGAGGGTATCAGAGATTTTGGGGTTTCAATTTAGACTGTTCGTATTTGTTGGAAATGGGAAAGGGTTGCAGTTTGGATCAAGGGAGAAATTATTGAGATCTTGGGGTTGCGATCTTGGGAATGAAAAAATGTTGGTATGTAGCTTGGATTTTTTTAGTGGGATTTGTTGAGGTGGTATGTAGTTATGATTGTTGTTATTGAATGAGTGTAAGGGTGATGTTGAGATGGGGTAAGAAATGAAGATGGGTATGTGAATATGTGTTTTTTGGTGTTGGATTGGTTGGGTGATTGAATTTGAATGTTGAAAATAGGCTGTTTTAGTGGGCGTATTCAGAATGTGCCCAAAAGTGTGGGGGGGACCCTAGGACCGGATGGCAAAATGCGGACGGGAAAGCCCCTGTCTAACTCCTTCTCCCCCCTCTCTCCCCTTCCGTTCCCCGACCTCCAGCCAAAAAAATGCGGAAGAATTTTCTACCCTGGTGTCATTTTGACCCGTACCCTCCAGTTGCGATTTTCGCCCCCTGGAATTGTTTTTCAAAAAAAAGTCCGCCAGTGAAAGCGATCCCCTTCTCAGATGCCCAGTGGATCGGCGTCCTTCTTGTTGGTTGACTTTCCCCCAAAAAGTGGAGAAAAAATCGAGGAAGCAACCCACTGTGCTGAGACAAAGTCTCTAGCAGTGTCAAAACCGAACATCTGCACCACAAAGACGTTCCCCGAGAAAAGCCAACCTTTAACACCACCAAGGGGAAAATCAAATCGCTCCTCTTTTTTCTGCGTTTTCGCCCCCTGGAAGAAATATGTCCAACTAGTGAAATAGTGATCCCCCTTAAAACTGCCAGATGTCTGGGCTGCCCTCAGATCCCTCGCTAAAAGTGAAACTTTTAATGGGTGTTTCATGGAAACCCCCACTAAAAAGCTAAAAAATGCTAAACAGCTAAGGAACCGGATGGCTGGGAGCCACCAAAAAATTACATCTCTCCTTTTGACTCCAGATCAAATCTCTGCGTTTGCGTTTTCGCCCCCTGGAAAGACATGTGTGAAATCGATCCCCCTTAACCCCACCAGGGGCTCGAGTGAGTCTCTCCGCTCTGGCGGCCTCCTGGCCGGCCAGCACCCCTGCCGCGCAGACGCCGCAGGCGCGGCGCAGCACCGCCAGCTCCGCGGGAGTCTTCACTAAGCGGAGGCGCGGCACTAAATGCGAGGCCTCGCCTCGCAAAGGGCCGCAGAGACTATGGACCAGGGCCCCTCTCATAGGTGGCCTCTTGGAAAAATAGATGGCCCTGGTAAATGGAATAAACCCCATCTAAACCAGGGCCCTCTATTTTGTAAGCAAACCAACCAAAAAGGACACCTATGGGAGTCCCTCTCATTCAAACATGGACTAGAGTGCTTGGTTTCCTGGATTCCCATGCGAGATTGAGAAGCAAGCCAAAGGCACCTCCTAAGCGATGTTAGTACCACCATTTGGAAAGGGGAACTATAGGGAGCCCTGAGACAGTCAGTAGTCAGACAGTCAGCCAGCCAGTCAGTCAGGCAGTCAGGCAGTCAGCCGGTCAGTCAGTCAGTCAGTCAGTCAGTCAGTCAGTCAGTCAGTCAGTCAGTCACAAGGCTCCACATATGGGCTGTGTCAAAATTGGGGAACCTTTAAATTGGGTGGTTCCTTTAACACAAACCCAAAGAAGGGTGCCCTCACAAAAAACGACACACAAATATTTCATCTGTAAACATCACGAGCCACCTCCTTTGAAGTGCCAAAGGTGACATGGGAAATTTAGGGAGCCCTGAGTCAGTCCGTCAGCCAGTCAGTCAGCCAACCACTCACCCAGTCAGGCAGGCAGTCAGGCAGTCAAGCTTCTTGTACGTAGAACTAGTGAGAATCCCAAGACGAATGCACCCTGGTTGATTTCCGGCCCACCCACCGCATCTCCAGTAAACCCTTGTGGCTAACCTCCATCTTGGGAACTCGATTCCACAAGCCTAAAACTTGCCCAAAGGCTCTGAAAATCAAAGATGAACATGTTCGTAGTCATGTTGACCGATTTGGGTTTGTCTCAAATTACGGATTCGTACCCCCAAAACGGGTCATGCCCGTTGGTTTCCCATGAAACCATTCCCGCAAAGGGGACCTCATCCCCCCCCCCCCAAACCCCCCCCCCATTGATGAACCCTGGTGATGGACGTGCAATGATCGATCCTCCCAACCATGGATCTCTGACCACCCGGAGGCTTTGGAAGACTATGTCCCTATCATTGGCATTGGACCCAACGGGAAGGTTTGGGGACCTCGAAAAGGCTTCGCCATTTTGATCGAGGGGGATTTCAAGATGCAGATAAGGTTGTATTTTCCTTGTGCGGAATGACCTTTGCCCACCTCCGTGATGATTTCTTTTTGCTAACCTCGGACTCATCCGGACCATTCTAATTAAGGGTGGTTCTCCATTGAGTAGGGAAACCCATCCCTTTTTGGGGGTTCCTCCACAGGGTCCTCTGGATTGATCCGAAGCTAGCATTCAGATGTGAAGCAATCATGGAGAACTGCAACTTCCAAATGAAGCCTCACCGAAGGCTCCTACATCTTCAATTCTCCACTTAAACCTGCCTGGTGGGTTCCATATTACGGGGTGAAAGTAGAAAGACAATTCCCTTGGGCAAGTGGATGGCTTGGAACTGCGCCTACGTTGGTTCGGATTGCAAGTGTGGCACTGCCATCTGCATAGGGTGGTGCAAACAAGAAATGCCAAAGCCTGCAACAAGGAATCCTCAAACACATTGTACTAAGGAACCTCTGACCTCCATCTGTTAAGTCCCGGAAAAAAATGTCCTGTATGCATAGACTAATTCCCCTTGAAAACAACATGGGAACGTAAACATATTCTTAAGCAACTGGGAGCTGAGTAAAGGACCGTGGCAGACATCGCGGGCAAAAAAACAAAGAACTAAGCTCCGAACGGCTTCGAACACCGCCGGGGCACACAGCTTCATCCCCTTGGTCTTCGCCAATGCCTCCAGCGGTTGGAAGTGAGTCATTGATGGCGGTTGGACGGCTTTTTTGCGAGTATAGATTGGTTTAAACCTCATGTGCTTGTTGAGGACACCCATTTGGGAGGGTTTCACGTGGATTGGCCACAAAAAGCAACTTCAATCCTTTCATCTACCACCAAAACGGCCACCAACAAAAATCCAACAAAGAGCGACGATCCAGTCCGTGCACTCTTCAAAAACCTCCCGCCATGTCAACCTCGGATTCTGGACCATACTCATCCGGGTTGGTTCGCCACTTACAAGCCAATCTGCTAAAGATCCCTCTGACTGATAGGGTCCTATTGTTGGGGCTTGAGTTTGTCAAAGCCCTCCACTGGATCGAGCGGTTAAAGATCCCTCTGACTGATCGGCTCCTCTTAGGGCTTGAGCTCGAAGCAAGCCCTCTGGAGCGAGTGTGTCACTCCCATCGAACGGAGGGACCAAGAAGATGCGGTCGAATTGTCCTTTTTTGTGGAAAGACGTCTGCCCACCAAAAGTGATCCATACTTGGTTGACGTTGGGTTCGGGGAGCAAAAGTTCTCAAACTTTAGCAGTTAAGTGGAATCGGATTTCAACCACTAAACCACAATAAGCAACAATGGGAAAAATGTGTCCCAACGACAGCCATGTACATGATCCATACACGTCAACCTCGAGCCAAAGCCCTCCACATCCAGAGTCCAGTCACTCCCCCCGGTAGAGACCGCCTATCAAACACGCTCCGTTTTTTTTTAAATAAAAATATCAAGATGAAACTTTCGCTGCACTCAGAAGGCCTTTGGCCACTCGTCTCCGCCCTCCCCCGCGCCCCCAGCTGTTATTCTAACCTCTCTACTCTTGGTTGACGGTGGAAGGGGAGGACAAAAAATATATTTTAGCAGTTCAGTGGATTCGGATTTCAACCACTCAACCGCAATAAGCAAAAATGTAAAGAACATGTTTCCCAACGACTGGTCCGGGATCCGGGCCTCCAACTTGGTCCAGTGCCGCGCCAGCAGCCGCCGGCTCTGCATCTCCAAGCCCAGGCGCGAGACTTGGAAGCTCTGAAGCAGCTCCTCGGCGCGAATGGACCCGGCTGGATGGGCAGGCTGGACCCGGAGGGGACTGCTGGAGGTCAGGTACTGTAGGTCCTTTTCCAGTTTTGGAGGTTAGAACAAGTTGGTGCCCGATGCTTTGTTGTTGTTTTTTTGGTTTGTTTTGTTCTTTTATTTTTTTTGTGTAGGCTATTTTAGTAGGGGAACCCTCCCAACCCAAAAAGGCGGACGCCATGAGAAAAAACGCCGCTACAAAGAAGGGACGCCGCTACATAATCCCGTTTTGGGGGAGCCACTACAAAGGCGCTTACGCAAGGTAAGGACTGAGGGTTATCATACAGCCCAGGACTGGTGGATGTGACCCAGCGATTCCAGGCAAGCCCCCGACCCAGAAAGATCCATCGTGTAAGACCTGCCCTGGCTACCTAAATTGGTAGCTCGAATCCACTGGGTAAAAGGACATCAATTCAAGGTTCCTGCGCGCTGATTCGGGACCTTCCACTTGGGTTGAAGTACACCTCCACAAGGGCAACACGACCCAACGGACATGCTTAGGCAAACGTCGACCCAAGTCAGGCACCAAAACCCATAGCCACGCTCGACCTTCGGATTACACCAATGGAATCGTCGCACTAGCCTATTTCCGGACAAAACCTGGGGGTGTAATCTCCGAATCGACACACCCTTAGATAGCTGGTCCCGGCCGGGAGGACATGGCAGATAGTGAGAATAGGTCCTCGCAAACAAGTAGATGGCCCTGGCAAATGATAAAACAACCAAGTCAACCAGCGCCATCTATATTGAACGAAAACAATCAAAGAGGACACCTATGCTATGTTTATCGTTCTTCATCGTCAACTAAAAAAAAGAAGACAAAACAACATGTTGGGCATGTTGCAGCGGCTGCAACATGAAGAATTGGCAGGACCCTATCTTAAGCCAGTTAAAACCATGTTTGCTTCAACATCACCTTTGGTGATACCGATCCTGCTCTGAAAGGTAGAACTGCGCTGATCCTTGCATCTTCGGCCTTTCCATCTTCACTTTATCTAAAGACCAAAGTCGGCAAGCCTGGCAAGTTCTCCGAAGCCTAGAGTTTCCTTCTGACCCTGTAACAATGAAATAATCACTCTTGTTGGGAAATCCCCGGATAAATAAACCCGTCCAAGAAAAAAACACACGGGGGTGTTGTGCTCCAAAGGTTTTAAGACGTCGTGGTTCCCAGTAGACCCCATTTAGGTGTCAGAAGAACTGTGGTACCGAGAACTGTGTCACCGAGAAGCGCAGACCTTGTCGATGCCGCTCTCGAAGTCCGCATAGACCTCGACTCACAGTTGGTTTTCCTCAACCAGGGCATGAAGCTCGTGGTTCGCATCCCGGGCCAGTCCGCTAGCATGAGCCTGGCTTTTTGGACCCCAAAACCTAGCGCGAGAGTCAAAAACTGGGTTGGATTGGAAGTCAATCAGGTCTCTGATTTGTGTCTCTTTTTCTTTTTGGGAGAAACTGAGAAGAGGTTCGCATCAACGGCTGGCCAGCACTGAAGCTTTTGCTACTCAAACTGAATTTCCTCGAGGGCATTGTGGATGAACTGCGACAAGGGAGAATGGTGGAAACGCGTGAAACATTCAAGCTCCGGTTCGCAGGCCGCTCAAACATTTGGGTGGGAATTGTTCGGCGACTTTCTCGTTTCCCGATGGTTGGACCCGGAAGTAAAAGGTGATCCCTTTTGAGGCTGACTAATAGCTTACCCCTTAAAACTCCAAGCCCTGGGGAAGTTAATATTTTACAGACATATAGCCCATGTTACGCAAAAAGTTGAAAAGTTGTGTTTTTAAGAGGTAAGATAGTGGACCAACATAGGAAACCAAAAGTTCAAAAGGTCGGCTTTGGACAAGCGAGTAGGTGTCGTTGGGAAAACCTGATCACACTGAATCCCAGGCGTTCTGCCACTTTTGCTAATCCTTGGATCCATTTTCCTGCTGGTGTTCAAAGTGGGGAACCTCTCAGTCACCAACCATACAGGTAAATGAAAACACTGCGAGATGATACTACAACGCAAGCATTTGGTTAGAACCGAACTAGCTTCCCAGTGCTATCGATTTCCAGAACTCATAAGGTAAACATTGAGAAGGACTTCCTGGACCCTCAAACTACCCATAAAAAAGATAAATCACCATCTGTTTGGGGCAATCATCCATCTTTAAGTTGGAATTTTGAGGGTTTAGGTAGTGGAACTGAATTTGAGGGTCTAGGTTGTCCAACTGAAAGCACTTTTCTCCGATCGCTCTCAAACTCAAGTCGCCCCGGACCCTTTGGAATGGCTGGACCCCGAAAACCACTTCAAAGGAGCGTCCGAAACAAAAATGAAGACTTACTTACTTGTCCAAAGGGCCTGGAAACAAAAGGTTGACCTTTTGGGGCCATGACTAAAAGTGGACTAACATGGGAAAGCTTTGGACCAGTGAGCTTATATTAAACTGGGGTTATTAAGAGGATCCTCAGCAAGTGCATCACCGTCAATGTCAAATCCCACGAAACCGCTCTTTGCACCACACAGAGATGGGCTGTCCAAACTGATCCCCTGCTAAAAGTGAATTGCTTTTAGTGGGTTACATGAAACCCAGCCACTAAACCAACTACAAAAAAACTTCAAAACCAATTTGAACCGGATAGCTGGGAACCACCAAGTGTCCATTCATCCTTCTTTCTAGAAAGCCATGGTTACTGTAAAACAAAAAACTCAAAACATGAAAACGCGTGGAGGTCCATTAAAAGGGACCTTTTTCTCCCTTTAACCCCAGCAGCACATTTGCCTCGCGATCTTGCGCGCTCCGATTTTCTGGCGTCCGAGAGGCGTGGATGAATTAACCACCAGGTCAACCAGGAATCGCCATCGATTTTTCCACCAAAACAACCAAAAAGGACACCTCTTGTTGGATCTCTCCGATTTCCGCTCCGATGTCTCCGATTTTTTCTGGGGTCCGGACGTGGAGGTTCTGGGGCTGCAGGTTGCTGCGGAAGGTGGCGTTGGTCACCTCCAGCAGCCGCGTCACCAAACTCGGCGCCCCTTCCGCCGGCAGAAGCAGCGCCTGGCGGTAGCGGTGGCGGAGGCGGTGGGGGTGGGGGTCTAAGGCCCACGGTTTTTGGGGTAGCTGGAATCACCAGGGTTTACATGTTAGCCTGGGTGTGGGGTGGGGGGGTGGCACAAGAAGCAATGAACAACAAGCTAATATGAGAGGCTAAAGCAATTGAAATAAATAAGGGGGTTGGGGTGATGGGTAATTTGAATCCATCCAATTGTGATCATAGTAGCAAACTGTTGGCGTCTATTTTGCCCCTCATATTGAACGAAAAGCAAACAATCGCACTCAGAAACAAGACACAAACAAACATTGCTATGAACAGGCTCCGTTTTTGTTGTTGAAATCACATGTTTTGAAATCACGCCTGGGGGGTCCCGTTTTTGTTTTTGCTGTTTTTTTCACGCCTGGGGATCCTGGTGCTTGATTTTGCTGCCTTTATGCCTGTGGGCAGGGGTGCGTTTTCTTTTGGTTTCACGCCTTGGGGCTCCGCTTTTTTTTGAAATCACGCCTCTAGGGCCTGGTGCTTTTTCTTTTGAAGTCACGCTTGGGGGCTCCGTTGTTTTTGGTTGTTGTTGCTTTTTTTGAAACCACGCCCAGGCGTGATGAAAACACTAGGAACCCAGGCGTGATTTTCACAGAAACCAGACCCCAGAGGCGCGAATTCAAATAAAACAATAAACAAAACAAAACAGGCCTTGATATTAAAAGTCAAAAAGAAAAAAAACACGGACCACCCGGGCGTGATGTATATAATACAAGAAGAAAACACTGGGACCACCCGGGCGTGATTTAAAAAAACTGGGACCCTTAGGCGTGATTTCAAAATATGTGATGTCAAACAAAACAACAAAACAAAACGGACCCAACAACGGGATCGGTGTTTGTGTCTTTGGAATCACCAGTCGCTCACTCACTTGCTTGCTCGCTTCGTCTTTGGAGAAAAACACCAAAATGAGAATCCAAAATGAGGAATTTCAAAATAAACACGGCTGGTGTAAACTCAAAAACAAAAACATCAATCCCTATGAACAACCTAAGCATCCTACACTAATCATAGTCACTAATAAAAATACAAACTAAAACAAACACATCACAACTGCATTGGGAGTTTGCTTCAAGGGAGCAGTTTACAGGGCTAGAAATCCTTCAACAAAAGGCACATCACCCACTGAAGCCCAGAAGATTTCCCGGTCAAAGTCCGGTTTTTTGTCACTTTTCCGGGGAAAAATCGCATGGGCTTTACACTCCACCCAGCTTCCCACTAATTGGTGGCTTGAATTGGCGGTTTGATGGCTAGGAAGTGGTCTCCCATCTACCCACAAGAACCAGGGCTTCAATTCCAACTCCTAACCACTCCAGCCAATTTGGGGCAACCTGGCCACCGGGGAAAACAAAAACGAGACAACAACAAAAAAAACTAGGTCCTCCAGTAGAGAGGTTAGAATAAAGGTACCCGACTTTTTTTCTGTAGTCTATGTTAGTAGGGGAACCCGCAAAAAAGAGTAAAAGGGCACTACTCAAACGCCTAGACCAAAAGGAAAATGGCTGGTTACCTACAGTGGTAGCCTGGGTTCACTGGTCCACTGCTGGGGGACCTAGACACAAACAAAAAACCTTCCGGCTGGCTGGAAGGAGGAACAGGCGCCTGGATCTGGGGCTCTCCGACGGTCTGGTACCCAGTGAGGTAAAAGATGTTCTCCGGCTCCGTGAGAACCACGAGATCCAGCTGCCTCGATGTGGTTGTCAAACCGTTTTGCTTTGGATCCCATTTTGGTTGGGATTGGTGAATTCACCACCCATTTTAGTCCGGATTTTAGTGGGGATTGGGATGTTCACTGGGGGTACGATCCTCGATATGACTGCGGGTCAAAAATGGGAACCCTAGTAAGTGGAAACGTGGACCAAAACCTGCGGTCCCCTGGTGGTTTAATTTTGACCCATACCCATATGGAAAAGCCTTGAGACCTTCTCGGTTGCTTTCTGCTCCCCTGCTAAAAGTGAATAACTTTGAGTGGTTTAATGGAAAACCCACTAGTTTGCAAAAAGTTAAAGTCCTAGCATCCAAGCAACATGCACCAAAGCCTTCTTTGTAACGGTTAAAAGCAAACACCCCCCCCCCCCCCCCCAAATCCAGTTGTGCGTTTGTTTTAAGGGAGAAACAAGAAATTTGTATAAGCACACAAAAATGCCAGTAGTTATAGATGTCCCTCAAAAAACACAGCGGATATCAAATATATGCAAACGAGAGATTCAATGAGGCAAACGAAGGCTTCGACTGCGGCCTCTTGGTGTGAATTTGTTTGTTCGGAAGGCACTGACCGGAAAGCCTTCCAACCAAACATGGGCCCTGTCTTCATTTTGGGGGCCCAACATGCGGTGAAGGGATTTCGGGATCGAATCGCAGTGATTGTGATACTGTGGATGGACGGAATCCTGCACCACCTAAGAGACCCTGGAATGATCATTCCCCTGCAAATACCAGCAAATCATGGTTTCCCATAGTTTCTTAGGTCACTGACGGTTAAAAAAAAACAGGAGAACATAAAACATATGGGTGGGTCATCTGTTTTGAGGGTACCCCTTTTTAGGTGGTTTTGCAGGAACGCCGATAAGGACAACCGAAGCCATGTTGGGGGGATCCAAATCCTAAGAAAAAGGCGAGCCACCCATCTTCTTCAAGGCAAACCGGAACCAAACTCAGGAAAACCATGGTCTGTCTGGTCTTGTTTGCTTGTTTTTTACAGGGACACAGACTAGGTTCTCCAGTAGAGAGGTTAGAATAAGGGTACCAACTTTCTTCTGTAATTAGTCTCTTCTAGTCCCCAAAAAAAGGGTGAGAAAGACTACTGGGGGACTTAGCAGAAGGAAAACGACACATTTTGGAGGTTCCCCCCAAAAGAACACACCCCCACATGGATTTTTCTGACAAAGGGCGATAACCACAGCCAAAAATAAGAACCTCAGAAAAATGATGGATCCCTTGCTCGGCTCCTTGTCCTCCCGGTCCGGTCCCCGTAATTTTTAGATATACCACTAAAAGGATCATTCCAAGCTGAAAAGTCCGCCACAAGTGAGGGAACCTTCTTGCCAGAGCGCCGAAGGGCTATGCATCCCAGTGTCCGCTGGACCCAAGAAATTTCAACAAATAAGACACGGATCCCGAACCCAGTGCCCAGTCAATCCGAGACGATTTTTTCAGATCCACTGACCAAACTCTTTTTTGGGTCTTTCTCGGGTCGTTCCCTTGGTCAGGTCCCCCGCAAAAAGTGACTCACTTTTCGTGGCTCAAATGGAAACTACCACTAAACACTAAAAGGCTAAAAAGCTAAGGAACCGGATGGCCTTCGGGAGCCACCAAGACCAGGAAAATGGCACACTGGTAAAAATCAGACCTGGATCTTCATAAGGGGCGTGCGCCCGTTTTAGCCACCTAGGGTCAATCTACCTGGACCCTCAAACTACCCATAAAAATGGGAGATCACCAACCATAATTTGGGGGGTCCTTGACCCATTTTTAAGTTGGAATTCTGAGGGTTCAGGTACTCGTCAGCCCGAGACGCTCCTTTTGCATGCCCTCCCGCACGCGCTGAAGCCGCCCCGCGTACTCCTCCGGGGAGAAGGGCAGCGGGATGCGGGAGCTGGGCATGGGCGGCACCCGAGCGCTGGACGCCATGGCTGCCGACGTTTTTTTTTTTTTTTTTTTCTTTTGCCGAAGTATCCCAAAGAAAAACTGCCTGGATAGCCAAGTTGTTGCTTTTTCAGTCACTGTTGCTGTTTTCTGGGGTAAAGTGGATGGAATAAAGCAGCAGCTGGCGATCCAGGTGGGGGCTTTCAATGGAGGTGGCGGGGGTCTCAAAACCTGGTGGTTTTGTGCTTTCCCACAGGCCCCTGACTCTTTCAATGGAGGTCTGTGCTCAAACACCTGGCTGTTCGAGGGCCCCAAATCAATCGGGAGCCCCCTGGATTGCTACAAGCAAGAATGCGATTGTTGATACTACACTACACCAAATTACCTCACGATAGCAGAATGTGCGTAATTATGTCACCGCGTAGATTGATCAAGTTGCTCTAACTCGCACATCAGAAATGTCAATCCCCAGCAAAGGACTACGTACACTCAGCATGAGCCAAGATGAGCTCGTCACTTGTACAGTTCAGATCCTCTTGCGTCCCTCATCTGATTGGTTCGTGGGTCCATTGCTAAAAGGTGAACTTTTGCTGGGACTCTAAATTCAACTCTAAACCCTCACGGGTACCAGGAAATGCTGAGAAATCTGAAAACGTGCTCTGCTCTGCTGATGGAGCAAGGAGCACTAAACCAAACGGCTGTGGCATGCATAGCGATCACAATTTGCAAGCCCCTCAAGACACCCTCCGTCGCACATGGCCTCCCCCCGCCTCTAAAATCGGACACCCCCGGTCAAAATCAGCGAGGGGGTTATTCATCCCGGGTTGGCATTCACTCACACGAATCGCTTTTTAGGGTTCCATGAGCGAAAATTGTTTGGACCCTAGGGCCGCTGGAACACTTATGTTCAACCTGCCAACTAACACCAGTGCCCCCAGGCAAATAAACTTGGTTATAACTTATGACCTTAGTTATAGCCTACTTGCCTGACATAGGTTGAACATCTAAGTTTCCTGGCAAAACATCAGAGATCATGGTCGGCTGTGCGGTTTTCCCGGGCTGTAAGGGGGTAACTAACTGGACACATTGTTCTCTCATCCCAGACACTCCACGCATTTCCCCTCCAAATGTGCCAGATTCTGCCAGATGCCTGAAGATATTACCTACATGAAGAAAGTGGGAATGATGATAAGATGATGACACAACTTGGTTTCAAGCACTCCACTCGAGGTGACCCTCCACGGAGTGGGAGAGAGATGTCGACCCTTGAGCATCCATCCTTCGCACAGTTGAGTACAGACCAGAAAGCAAGCGAGGGTCCTTTGCTTGGAAATAAATAACCAATTCCTGCTCAGTTGCGGTCCGTCCAACCAAAAACCTGCCAATTCGGTAGCCCTTCCTTGTTTGGCCGGAGCTTTGTTTCGAACCCCGTCCCCTTGGACCCAACTTTTTTCGGGGCCGGAGGTGGCAAACCCTACCATATCCCACGGAATCCGAAACAAACCCCTGTTGTTGGCCCTCGTTCTTCTAATTAAATGGGAAACCACCCCTGCACCTCCAACCCACCAAACACACTCGATTCATTACCCTAACAAGAGCCACAGTTGCTGGAAAAAAACGATTCGCAACTGGCGATCCAGGTACCCCAACTGGAGCACTCCAAACCACCCCTGCACCCCCAAAGCAAAAGGGTTCCAAACCCTTCCCATCCCAAAAAGAATCCCGAAAAGCAAAAACGTTTTGACCCTTCTTGCCTTCGGGTAAATGGGCAAACCTCCAATGCAACTCTGGTTTTGTCAAACCCTACTTTCACTGGCTGAGTGGATGGCCCCCAAAAAGTCCAAACTTTCTATATTTCCCACTAAAATGGTCCAAACCCACAAAGTTGTTTAAAGTTCGTGAACTCAGACCCTCACCCTCAAACCCTCGTACCCTCAGACCCTCAGACCTTGAGGAAGAGACTAATTCCCCACGGCCCACGGATCTCCAACTAACACCAGTTGCCGACCAAACAAACTGGTCACAACCAAAAAACAAAAACGCCTTTCTTGGTTTGGCCCCTGCTTGTCTTCAGACCTCCAACCCAACCGGAGGTGTCGATTTCCAGCGCCCGTCCCGGCGCTCCCCGGCGCTTCCAACGGGCGCCTTCCACCAGCAGCGGGAAGTTCTCCTCCGGCGGCAGCAGGCCGCTGGCGCTGGGCCTCCGCTCGCGGCAAAGGGGAGGAGTCTGGTTGGGGTTCTAAGAAAGGGTTTCGGGTTTCGGGTTTCGGGTTTCGGGAACCCTAAAACCCCAAACCCTAAGTCCAAAAGCCCACTCTCAAAGCTCCAGATGTTCATGGGAAAGGGACTGAAGGGAAAACGTGTACTCACTGTTCATGAGAAACCTCATAGATGGAAAGGGAAAACTCTGGGAACAGCGTTCAGCAACGACCCATGAAGCAAGAGCTTCAGCAAAGCGATCTGGGCAGGCTTCTTGGCGATGTTGGGGTGTTTTTTTTGTTTGCTCTGCCTTGGTTGGTTGGTTGGTTGGTTGGTTGGTTGGTTGGTTGGTTGGTTGAGTGGTTGGTGGGTTGTTGGGCGTGATCTGCTCTGACCTGGCGGGTTGGTGGGTTAGTGGTTGGGTGATGTTAAGCGTCTTAACAAGTTAAACTTAATTTTAAAACGCTAAACCCTAAAGCCGGCTGTCCGCTTTGAATCGATCCGCGGGACTTGGATTGGAACGTTCTGCTGGTCTTGGGTTGGAGTCTGGGTTCAGGGGTCAGGTTGTAGGGTTTGTGATTTAGGGGTTAGGTTGTAGGGGTTGTGATTTAGGGGTTAGGTTTTGGGGCTTGCAGTTTAGAGGTTAGGTTTTAGGGTTTAGGTTTATGGTTTAGGTTTGTAGCACAGACCGAATCTTTGGGTAGGGCATTGCAGAAGATAGTAGCCCATTGTAGTTTACGCCAGTCACACTCTCTTAGCTCCAGGGAAAGGGACTGAAGTTCTCGGTGGCGAACTCTGCGAAGCCCTGCTAAAAGTTTGAATAACTTTTAGTGGTTTAATACGGAAAACCCCTTAGTTGGGTTTCAAAAAGTTGTTCAGTCCTAACATCCCTTGGCAAAACGCACCAAGGGAAGGGTTGCGCCATGCTTGCGATGCTGAGGCAGACATGCCAGCTGAGGATGGACCCCATGACTTTGCCTCGAGAGATGCCTCTTCCTTAGGGCTCGAACCTCACTTCAAACCCCGGTGGCCAAATCGGCGGCCGGAGAAAAAAACACTTTTTTTTTTGGGGGGGGGTGGCGACTCTCTCCAAGGGAATCCCCGTGATCAGTTTTCGCCAGAAAGCGTGGTGGGGGTAGACGCCAAATCGGCTCGTAAGGGGTAAGGGGAGGTGGCCCCTTCCTTTGATGGGGGCTCAAACGTCCCGGCTCGCGGAAGAATCGGTTTTTGGGTGGCCACTCTCCAAGGGAATCCCGTGACTTGCTCCAGAAAGCGATTTTTTGGGGAGGTTTGGGGCAGCTTGGGAGGGTTCTGGGGGGTTCGGTTCGGGTCGTTGCGGAGACCACCTGAGTCCCAGAAGCGTGTAAAGACTTAAGAAGGCGGAGATCCGCAGCTTGGTTGCTGGAACGACCCCCCTGGAAAAAGTGAACAACTTTTTGGGGGTTTAGTGGAAAACCCCTGAGTTCCCAAAAAGTTAAGGTCTCAAGATCCAACTCAATAGCAGTCAAGGCAGCTATTTATGGTTGGGATTGTCCCTTACTAACCTTTATATCTACCCGGGTTTTGAGGACGTGGCTCACCTGTCTCATTTGTTGGGATAAAAATCGGCCAGGGAAAGGGCGGCTCCAGCATCTTCAGCCCTCTCAACTTGCATTGGCATCGCCAGCCCCAACCGTCCCTTAGCCTCCAGTCCAGTCTTAGAACAAAAGGTAAGTAATTTCCTTGAATTCCATTCAAATCCAAGAAAGGTGGGCTATTTCCCTAACCCAGCCAAACAACGGCTCCAAACAAAACAACCGTTTCCCAAAAGATGATAACAGACTCGGTTTCCGCAAGTCCCCTCACAAACCATGGCAGCATCTTCACCTTCTCGTCTTGAACTTGAGACAAGTCAGGCAAAGTGACTCGCGCGGTTTTAAAGAAGGAAGCCGGAGCCTATGTTGGGGATCCTCTCCCCATATGAGTATGTCTTGTTTGGTTACTGGTTGGTTTTGCAGCAACACCAAAAGGAAAACTACCATTTCGTGGGGGTCTCTATATAATATCTTGAGACACACCCAGAAAAAGAACAGTTGCACATGTTCGAAGAACCAAAAGTCAGCTCGGGTTTTGGCTGCCTTGGGATGTATTTGGGGTATATTGTGGATGGACAAAACCCACAAAACGCACCAGTAGGGATGGAGTAGTCTCCCAAAGCAATGAAGGGGCGTCAAAACTCAAGGCCTGGCCTCCAAAGAAGGAAAAGGAGAAACGAAATCCACCAAATTGCAATCCCTCGAAAGGTACCAGGATCTCACTGTCCGGCCAGAAGGGGTGCCGATTCGCTCCCCATGGGAACAAAAAGGATGGTGGCAGCAAAGCAAGCGTCACAGGCTGCTGTTGCTTGAGCAGCGCCGAACAAAAGCGTCTGAATGCGACGCACGCCGTGATCATGTGCACCGGCGGCAACAGACACCCATGGAGCTCCACCAGTTGGTCCCACAACCAGAGGACACACTCTAAGCAGACTAGGGACCCTCCATTGGAGAGGAAAAGGGGCCTCAGGCCCTCAAAAACAGACACACCCATCACCCCTTTTTGTTGTGTTTAATGACCGCCGCCACCTTCCCAACTGCAAGTTCCACCCTTCACATCCTCACGCGCCTCAAAACCCTGAGCAGCAGCGCTAAAGCCCGCTGCTGCAGCATCCGCGGGGCGGGCCTGCAGGATCCCTTGAACCATCCCCCGACAACTGTTGCTTCAATCTCTCTCTGCTGCCTACTCTAGGTCCTCCAGTAAAGAGGTTAGAATAAGCGTACCAACTTTTTGAAGTAGTCTATTTTGGTAGGGGAACCTTCCCCCAAAAAAGGGTAAAAGGGCACTACTGGGGGACCTAGTACGCCGAAAACCCACTTTTTTCAGGGAAATACA